GGAAAACACTCAAATAAAACATAAAAACCCTGAATAAAGCAGAAAAATACTCAAATAAAACATAAAAACATTCAAATAAAACAGAAAAACTCTTGAATGAAGCAGAAAGCAGGAAAACACCAGAATAAAGTGTTTTATTGATTGTTTTTATATACAGGAGACGGTCTGACCCGGTTCTGCTGAGTCCTGACTGAGTTTTTCTGTTTGTTCTGTTTGTTTTCCTGCTCCGGTTCCTAAACTCTGACACAAACTCCAACACCAGAGTCCAGAGAACCAGAGTTCTGCTTCTGCTCCAGAATGAGGTTCTCCTCCTGGATCAGCTCTGTTCCAGCTCTGACAGACGCACAAAAACTGGACAGAACGGGGTTAAAGTGTCCCGTTTGGCAGATTTATGAACAAACCGCCAGAATTATGAGCCAATTTTACATAAAAAGGAGAAAAATATGTCTGTTTTTCCATAAACATTCATTTGGGAATCCGACACATGACCAAAAGCAATAAAATAAATCAGAATATTTTGAATTTAAACTGTGAATTCCTGCTTTTCTCCTCCAGAATCAGCTCTGGTTTCCCCTGAATGAGCTCTGTTCAGCAGATGTTCAGACAGAAGCAGAAACAGGAGTTCAGGAGCTGGAACAGACTCAATAAGGAGCAGAAACTCAAACATTTGGGTCAGTGAGAGGACAATAAAAGGCTTTAAAACACCTTAAAGTGTCTCTTTGATCCGTTTTATAAAGAATCCTTAAAAGATTTGAGCTCATTTTGCAGTAAAATAGTGAATTCATGTCAGTTTATTCCATATATAGCTGAAATATTTGTCAGTAAATGAGTTTGGGAATCGATAAACTGCTGACAAATGAGTAAATATAAATAAACTCCCAGAAACGCTGGAAAACGCCAGAAAAACCCTCAGGCTTTTACTTTGGAGGGTTTCTGTCCTACTTCTGCTCTGAGTGACGTAATTCCTTGGCAACCAGAGAGAAAACACCCCGGAGAGGCCACGTGGGCGCAAAGCATCATGGGAGCCGGAGTCCCGAAATCAGTTTGACTGAACTAAATTCATCATAAACATACAGAATAAAAACAAAGAATTGATTTAATCTTTTCTCTCTTAGTCCGTTTCATCATTTCATAAAAAACAGGAATAAACCTGATTAACTTTTAAAAGCAGGAAACAAAAACAGGAAAACACATTTTCTCATCTTTTTTCTTTCTTTCT